CACCTGGGGACACCAAAACCACACCTGGGGACAGCTGGGACACACCTGGACACACCTGGCCCCAAATTCCCCACTTCTCCCCCCAAATCCCGGCGTTTGACGCTGAATTTTTGCCATTTATTTTTTGGGTTTTTTTCCTGTCAAACTTTGGGGGATTTTCCTCAATTTCTGTTTCTCCTTCGAATCCCATTTTTGGGTTTTTTTTTTCCTTTGAATCTCTGTTTTTCTCTCCCAATTTTTCGTGTTTTCCCCCAAATTTTTTGGGATTTTTTTCCCTTGTGTTTTTTTTCTCTCCACACTTTGAATTCGTGCAGATTTTGACCTTTCCCTTCCTGTGATTTATTATTTTAATTTCCCCTTTTTCAATTCCTTTCTCTCCAAATTTTGACTTTTTCTTTTTCATTTTTTCCTCCAAATCTTCGCTTTCCCCCCAAATTCCCTTTTCCCCCAAAAAACTCCCCTTTTCCTTCCCCCCAACTTCTTCCCTTTCTCCCCTTTAAACCCCAATTTTAACTTCTCCACGTTTTTTCCCATTTTTCTGGTTTTTTTTCTCCAATTTCCCCATTCCCGTTTTTTCCCATTTTTCCCCGTTTTTGCCCCGTTTTTGCCGTTCCCAGAGTACTCCAAGGACTCCCTGGGCAGCGAGGAGGAGAGCGGGAAGGACTGGGACGAGCTGGAGGAGGAGGCGCGCAAAGGTTCGGCCCCAAAAACCCCAAAACCCCCGGAAATCACCCCAAAAACCCAAAAAACCCCAGAAATCGCCCCAAAAACCCCAGAAATCACCCCAAAACCCCCGGAAATCACCCCAAAAACCCAAAAAACCCCAGAAATCGCCCCAAAAACCCCAGAAATCGCCCCAAAAACCCCGGAAATCACCCCAAAAACCCCGGAAATCACCCCAAAAACCCAAAAACCCCAGAAATCACCCCAAAAACCCAAAAACCCCAGAAATCACCCCAAAAACCCCCGGAAATCACCCCAAAACCCCCGGAAATCACCCCAAAA